CTCAAATTTGTAATAATGTTTCAATTTTACCAAATTACTATTTTGTAACTGTGGAGGGTATCCATAATGGTTTTAATCATTTGGTTAATTCTGAGGTAGCTTTGAGACAACGTGTAGAACCAGATAGCCAACACATTGTTCTTCCTGTATGCCATTCATTACAATGGATTTTATGTATATTAGCTAAAGATTTTAATGGATTATCCGCATATTATTATGATCCTCTAAATTCTTCTAACACTTGCTCAAATATTATTCAATATGTAAATAGTATTCTAATTCAATCTCCTTTGAATATTATTAGCACACCTTACATTTTGAGTGGTCCTATTCAGCAAAATTCGTACGATTGTGGAATGTATAATTGTTTGTTTGCAATTTGTTATTTTGTTAATATTCCTTGCAACTACTCTTCTAATGATGTAACTCATGCTCGTAATTTATTATGTGATAGCCTAAAACAACGTAATATACGCAACTTAGTTGATTTTTTGTACAGTTTGGTTAATAAAATGTATATTTTTGATTAAAATTTGTAACATTTGTGTCACAGTATCTGTAAATAATGTTGCAAACATGTTTGTGTAAGTGTTTGTGGTAATGTGAGTGATAATGTGAGTGATAATGTGAGTGATAATGTCAGTGATAATGTCAGTGATAAGCTGATGCGTTGATAGCTTGAATCAGTAAATGGATGATCACTTATCATTATATAATAGGCGCTATCCAGCCACGGAAAATGAGATGCGAAAATTTTTGAGAAAGTTAACGCATAAATTGATAACTTATCAACTTGATTTTGATAAAAATTAAAGATATAAGGCTTTTTGTTTTGATTCACCTTATTCAACTGCATTCAAATCAATTGAAAATGTTTTGGGTGAATGTAAATACTGGAAATGATGGATTTCCGATTAAATACTGATACAAGCTATCATCACTGATAAATAAAATGTAATCTTTATATACGCAATTGATACCAAAAGTATTCGCATCTCATTTTCCGTGGCTGTATAAACCTGAATAATCACGAATTGCTCCCGAATTTGAATATTCATGCTAATCTGATTATTTGTGGAAATAATTCAGGAAATAGTAATATTGCATAGTAATATTGCATAGTATTAGGGCGTTTGAACATGGCCGGTTCTAACATAGTTCGAGTAGGTGAACATAGATGGAAATGAGATAGACATTTAGCTTAATTATTTAGCTTAATTGTTAGAAAGTTTCAAAAAATTTTGTTCATTTGTTTAATTTTTATGGTGATTATTTATCATGGCGACCGTTGAAATGAAAGCTAATATAAAATTGCTAGTCAGTCAAAAGCGGACCAACAAAGAGATTCAAGAGCAATTAGCCCAAAATTTCCCTGATCTGAACCCGTCTAAGACAACAATCAATAGATGGATTCGAGAGTTCAGATGTGGCCGAGAAAGTTTGGAAAACCAGACTCAAAGAGAAGGAGTAGTGCAAATCGATTACCCTCGACTTTTGGCCGCCGTGAGTGCCGATCTTAAGGCTGACAAAAAACTTTCGATTCGGCAATTGGCCGATAAGCATCGGACATCAACACAAACGATGCATAATGTGGTCACAAATCTCCTTGGCAAGAAAAAGCTAACTCCTGTTAAGGTTCCTCATACCCTCAACATAAGCCAAAAAGAGTCTCGAGTTAAGTGCAGTGAAGCTATGTTAAAGCTGTATAATAGGGGCAAACGTGATTTTATCGAGAATCTTTTCACCATGGATGAGACCTGGTTGTCCATATATGACCCAGAGTCTCGAACTGAGTCAATGGAATGGGTCAGTGATAGGTCCGAGCTCTCGCAAGTCGCAACATCAGATAGACGTGACCCTAAGGTTATGGCCTGTGTTTATTGGTATTCCGGAGGAATTTTGAAAATTTTTTGGTGTCATCAAGGAACCACAATCAATGGTGAAATCTATCGCGAGCAATTGAAAGAAATCGATGAGCTCATCAAGAACATATTACCAAAAAGGCCTCTCTTCCTCCAGGATAACGCGCGTCCTCACAAGGCCGCTGCTACAATGGCTCTGATAGAGGAATTAGGGTGGAAAACAGTTACCCATCCTGCCTATTCACCTGACTTGGCTCCGTCAGACTTTTTTCTTTTCAAAAATTTAAAAAAATTCCTAAGAGGAACTCGATTTTCTTCCATTGATGAGCTAAAGGTCAGCGTCGAGACCTTTTTTGAACAAAAGCCCATATCTTGGTTCAGAGAAGGAATTGAAGCCCTACCTACCCGTTATCAGAGATGCATTGCTGCGTCAGGAGAGTATTTCTCTTAAATTTCGATAAAAAAATAAATGCTCAATGTCAGAACCGGCCATGTTCAAACGCCCTAATAATATTGCATAGTAATATTGCATAGTAATATTGCATAGTAATATTGCATAGTAATATTGCATTGGAATAATGCATAGTAATATTGCATAGTAATATTGCATAGTGCATACTGCTATTATTCCATCAATTTTGAATATTATTAACTTATTTGTTAATTTCTAAATCGTTACATGAATGATAATTTGAAGATAATATTTCGAAGTAAAATAATTTATTGCATTATATTTTTATTTCAGTTTGAAAAATTCAAAAGGCGACAGTGGTATTTTTTGAGGACACAACATGGGCCAGTTGATTTTACGCTCCGTGAAGAACATTCAAATTATGAAAGTATTTGTTTATTCGGAAAAATTATTGAAAATTACGTTTTTCGGGAAGATGAAAAGAAATATTTTTGTTACACAGCCAAGCCTTATGGATCTGTTAAAAAAATACATCTATTTTTTGTATATTACCAATTTAATGATAGATCTCTACAAGTACAGGTATTTTTAATGTTTTTGTAATTTTATTATATTTTATAGTTGTTTACTAACATTTACAATTTTTGATATCAGCTCACTGAACTACGAAAGATAAAAAGAAAAACATTGTGCATTGGTGGTAATATTTCACAAGACAAATTATTCGTTGATTTTATATATGTAAACCTGATTTCATTGTTAAATCTATTGAAAGAACTATGTATGACGAATATACCTACAGGCTACGATTGCGTGTCGCGGGTGAAATCTACAACTGGTCTAATCAAATTTACATTAATCATGGTGAAAATATGCGGAGACAGGATATTATTGCAAAAGAAAACCTTTATGGTGTTAACCGGTTTTCTGATCTACAACACATTATTAAAAATCGTGATTGGATAAATTGGACTGATTTACTTGGATGCAAACTTGGAATTTGTTGCGAAAAAGATCATAAAGAAAAGATTGGTGTTCAGAAAGTTTCGGTTGAATTACTTAACTATTCTAAATTTTTCGACATTAATTACAGTTTAGAAAATCCAGTTACTGATTGGATCGATGATGTAGACTTTGATAATTTTAATGAAGATTGATATTGATATTATAAATGGGAACCGGGAAATTTGATTCGAATTCAATAACTTTAAAATATGTTTATATTAATAATTACCATGTATTATATTGTGTTTATGCAAAAATAGAAACATCTATAATGTAATGTGTTTTGAATGATTAGTTTTAATTTATTATTTCTTATGGAAGTTGTTGGTTATTACGTTTTTCACCAAGATTTTGTTATAATAATGCATATAAATTAACTTTAAGTTATCTATCATTTTCACAATTAGAAAACCAAAAAGAATCGCAGTTTCACAATGTAGTACATAGATTTAGATGTTCTTTCATTCATTTCTGTTTTCTTTTCTTAGTTTGCGTGATGGTCTCTTATTCGAGCATAAACCAGGAAACCATGTTATATCTTTTTCAACTTCATCTGTATCACCATCTGAGGAAGAATCTGTTGAGTAAACTTCAACTGTTTCAACAGATTTAGCTTTTTTTGACTTTACACAGTTTTTGATTATGTTAGGCTCAGAATCTAATCGGGTAATTTTCGGTATTTTATAATTATCAATTGCACAAAAATGACTTTTCAAGGCCCATTCATTTTCAAATAAGCGACCACATTCAGTTTTCTGGCATTTAAATCTTTTGAGAATCATCGATAATGTTGGTAATTTTGCTTGTTTCTGTACCAAGCTGCAAGATTGTTGTGAAGTAGACTGTATTGAAGTTAATTGCGGTGAGTCATTTGGTGTGAGATAAGGAGCGAGTGTCACTAAATTCTCTTCTTCTGCTTCAAGAATGCCTTCAATAACGTGTTGTAGTTCACCCTCTTGGTCAACTGTATCTTCAGTTATTGTTGATTCAGCTGTCTTTTGGCTTTCGTGTTTGGCAAAGCAATTGTACTTCTCCGATTTGGTAAAATAGGCAACTGAGCATTTTTCACATTCAATTAATCCATGGGTTAAAGTTTGGTGAACTATAAGTTTGTGATGTTGGGTAAAGATGTATTTGCAATCAAAAAAACGACATTCAAATGTCATTCCACCGGTTGTCGAGATTTTGTTAAAGGTTGGTAAAGATGTTACTAACTTCTGTTCAGAGGTCGATTTCCTTGCAACTCGCTCAGAACGGTATGGTTTGGCTCCATGATTTTTAATTTTATGTGATACAATAGAATTCATTTTGATTAAACTTCCTTTTAACTGGAAACTTAAAATAAACTGAAGATGTTTTTTCGCTAGTTCTGTTTTTGCTCCCACATCTTTTTGTTTATGTAGTGCTAATTGCGTAATTCAATTTTTGCGCAACATTAATTTATGTTGAAGTATACATTAATAATTAATATTAATGTATAGTTAAGTATTGCCATCTATGTAATTACACATCATCATCTTATCAGTGTATCAAGCTATCAGTTTATCACGTCTATGTGAAACACGCTCTTTGTGGTTTATATTAAAGTCTTTTTTCCAAGTCTGTTTGGCTATTGAAGCTTTAGATTGAACAAACGTCTCAATTTTCGTCGTGTTTAATACAATATTTTTGTGATTTAATTATAAGTTATTTAATTTATTATTTATTGTTTCTCTTTCATAATGACATTGCCTAAATTAACTGAAGGTGCCTTTGAAAAAATTCTTTCGGGCTGTGAAATGGACTCACCGATTGTTCAACTATTAGCTCAAAAAAATGCTTCTGCTACTAGTGTCAATCGTCTCCAGGTTTTGCTGTCCGATGGAAACGTCAGTTACCAATTTTGCCTAATTGTTGGACCCCTAGTTTTACGAGTTGAAACTGCTGAATTTGGCAAATTTTCAGTTATCCGTTTGCTTAAATATTATTGTAAGCAAACTAATCACGATAAACGTGTTATTATTATAACTGAGGCTGAAGTTGTGACTCCTGGAGCTGTTGTTGGCCTTAAGCTTGGTAATCCAAGCATTGTGACTGATTTCTCTAAGGAATTAGATTCTAATGCACAAACTTTGGATCATCAATTCGGTGGCAAATCAAGTGGTGCAATTAAATTTGCCTCTCAGTTTAATGATGTCCCAGTCTTTAAAGAAGAACAAATCTGTCCAGTTTCTCAAATTACGCCATATGTGAAAAATTGGGTACTGCGCGGGCGAGTTACCTCTAAAAGTACTGTTGTGAGCTGGAATAATGTTAAAGGTTCTGGTAAATTGTTTACATTTAATTTAGCTGATCATTCCGGTGAAATAAAAATAACCGCATTTCGTGGTGAATGTGATAAATATTTCGATGTGGTAATTTTAGGAAAAGTTCATATTCTTTTTAATGCGGTTGTAAAAGAGGCAAATAAGAAATAGTCCGATATTGAACATGCCTACGAATTGGTGTTGAATTCAACCAGCATAGTGAAACTAGATGCAGTTAACGAGAACAGATGCCCCCAAGTTAATTATGATTTTGTTAAAATTGGTCAACTAGAATCTGTTCCATCTAATTCTTGTGTGGATGTTGTTGGTGTTTGTAGAGATCCTAGTGTATTAACGACATTAACTTCAAAAAATTCAGGCAAAGACAACTTCGTCCAATCGAAACTTTTTTCTCGCATTATGGCGATGGTTGGAAGGCTAAAAATCAAAGTGTGCTAATCAAGCGAGTCAAAAATAAGTTATAAACCATATTTCTGCCGACTCATGGAAAATGTTGTCTCAAAAGTGGCCTATTCTGTTTTTAATGGTACAATGTCATTGATCAAAAACACGAATGTTTGAAAAATAAACTCTTCTAAAAATGTTAAATTTTGTCTACATGTTTACTTAATTACATTCCCTCAAATTGACGTCCAATCTTTTTTCCGAACAGATTAGAGACAAGCGTTAGCTATATAAATATGAAAAATAAGGCACACCAAACCATTAGTACGCATCATGTCAAAGCTGAAGCAAAGTGAAGTTTTTAAAGTTTGTGCCAATATTTTTTCTAAGTTTGAAGATCCTTCAAATCGAAGGCAAATTGTGTAGAAATTTGTGATTGCTGGTGTACTAACTACCACCGCATATCACACATATGCAAAATTGATATTAGGACATAATCAAAGAAAGCCAGGAACTGGCTTAGCGCGGTACAAATTAAATCCAGCCAACGAACAAAAAATTGCATCGTAGACTTCAAATAAAGTTTTTTATGGATACCGTGCTGTTGGACGGGTTATTGGTGTATCCCATATAACTGCAAAAGTTTATATGGATAAATTGAAGGTTAACGTTCGCAAAAGAAAAAATGCACCAATAGTTTCAGTTTGAACTATCAGGGCATTTCAGCTAATTTTCCTGTTGTTAAACGGTTATTACTCTGCACTGGAGTGACTTTTAGGCTAGATATTTCGTTTAATGGAAATTTCAGCGATACTCAATTATCATATTTCAAGGCCAAGGCATTCAAGGTCATTGCGTTATTCGACCTCTAACTGATATTTGGAGGTCATTTTCTGAGAGTGCAAAAATTTTCAATCAATTGAAATCAATAAGCCAATTGATCTGTGAAGCCTCAGATGATCATTACAGAATAATGGTCAAGATTCAACAAGTAAGAGGAATGAGTGGATTTTTGAAGCAACTGATTGATACAGTATCAATTGATTATTCAAATTCATTGCGATTCTTTCTTAGCAATGCAGTTTATAGTAAAATTTCATGACAAAATCTGTAACGATTCATCATTATTGTAAAATTTCTCACCCAAACTTCATACACATATCCGACTTTGGTAGACTTTTAAAGTCAAATTTTATGCCTCATACTGTTCAACACATTTTTCATTCAACTTTTGATTGACTCAATTGTAATGGTATTTAGCATGGTGCTTTTGATTTCTCCATGTTCAATTTCTGTTTGATCAAATTTCACTGATATCGAAATGTAAACTATTCCAAATGATCGAATGCAAAGCAAATAAAAAGTTTGTTTGTTTAAAATTTTCTCAATCACAATAAAGTCTCAAAAGTCAATTTTTATGGATCTTTTCGTCCACTCTCCAAAATCTTGGAGTTTCCTTTTCACATTTTAATATCGATCTGTATCATGAACATAATGTGTCTCATGTACACGAAAATTTCAAAAAAACTCGTTTTCATCAATTATAGTTCACTAAAACCATTTCTGTCTATTTATTCAATGTTATTCCATGTTATTTCAACCATTTGGTTTTTTTATTCATTAATATGTTAATAACTTCTAAACATAATAAAATGGAATAAAATGCAGAAAACTACTTTGGATAAATTACAAAGTGACTTGTCTCAAAAATATTAGGGGTATCAAAAAGTTCTGTCGTTTTTTTTACCAGCAACTTTTACTCCAATTTTAAATAAGTTCTGATTATTATATTGTTTCAATAATTTCAGGGATACAAGAACATCTATTAAATTGTATTCAGGCCATTTTTTGATGCGATCGGAGTTAATTAACTATGATTAATTACCTAATCAATAAGCACCAATTTAAGTAGAAATTTTAAGGAGCTAAATTTATTGATATTTTTTATGAAA